TATAATAATACAAAACACCCAGAGATATTCCCTCAACCACAATAGTTCCGCATCCGTACCAGTGTACCAAGAATAATTAAATTTCATAAACGAGGAAACGCGTAGACAATTTACTATAACTGATTTGTTTGGTTTTATTCCTTTCTTTTCATCCGTCATGCCTTCATTGCTAATGCCACAATGCTAAATATTGAAAGTATTCGCCGATTTATGAAACAGAGTTTTTAAGAGAAGAAAACGCTAGACAATTCAAATATACATTTGAGATGTGCTCATTAATACCATTTGTCATACCAGTTGAAATAATTAAATTCTTGGCAAATCGGTATTAAATTTTTGTTAAGTATTTTATTTTATCGAAAAATAAATTATTTTATATGAAAAAATATTGATTTTAAACTATTTTTCTTCTTCTATGATAACAGATACGAGATAATCAATCTTTTAATAATTTATTGAAGATACAAATTACGATCTGCAAAAGTTATTGAATATATATATATAAATCTATTTTCTTTATAATAGTTACAATTGAATAGGGAAAAATTTCAGAAATATATCAGTCAAGTCTTGATGTAGCTGTACAATTGATGTTAAATACGCCACATAAAGCTTGCATATTTATTGTTAAATTTGGTAACTCTAAAAATATAGAACCGTTAAAAAATGATCTTTGATATCAAAGGAGGGATTTTTTTATCTATATTTCGTAAAATGAATTTAAAAAATAATTTTCTTATATGTCTATTTCAGTAGACAATTTTTAACACGAAGAAAATAATTGTTCAATTCAGAAAATCCATTAATATAAATATATAGACTCAACTGAATTTTCTAAAGTTTTATTCACAAAATCAATGAAAATTCAGTTCTCTTTTCGACACGAATGCGGTTGAATGGATCATTTCAGAACATTCTTACTCTTTCTGGAACAAGAAGTTAAATGATATTTGAGAAGAGCACTTTGGCACCCAGAAATAAAGAGCACACGGATAATTAGCAGCATAAGTAGGCGCCGCATTCTCTCGTTATACGTGTTTCATGTTTCAAGAAGTCATCCAGGAGGGATAAAAATTCTATTGCAAATATATTAACACACACAAACAGGTTAACAGTAAACTGAGATCGGTTGAAAAGCTTTATATATGTAACGTACATATAGAGCAAGAAGTATCATCGTCAGAGAGTCCAAGTTAAATGCAAATCCTCAGCAAAAAAAGACACACTTTTCTCTGCTTTGAGATGAGATTAATTAAGAGACGATTAATTCAAAAAAAAATCTTTTCATTTTATGGAACTCTCAGTAAGATATCCAAATAAATAAAATATGTATTTCCAAGAACCTTTGTAAGTTTAATCTAGAGTCTTATCAAATCTTATTGAATATAACTGGAAAGAATAATAATTTTGTTAATTTCCTTCTATTTCAACGTGAAAATATCGTATGAAAATATTTCAAAATATCAATTTAAATTTTTAGTTTTAAACTGTGCAAATTGAAATACATATATGTGTAAATCAAATTGATCTCTAATTGTTTTTGAAGTGATATATAACAACTGAATTTGTTCTTTTCTTTTTCTTTTTTTTGATTCTCTACAAGTTGAAAAATATTAATCTTCGAATAAAACCTTTGTGAGTCGAATTTTTATTTGTTAAACCCTCTATTATTATAAAAAAATTCGATGAAACAAAACTCCTATTCAAAGATTTTACCTTTTCTTTTAAGATTTATCGAGATTGGATTGAATGAAACGAGACAAAAATAGAATATGACAACAATTTAACAGAGACAAAGACAGAATAGTTTCAGTCTCTTTCCATCTCACTTCATCTAACGCAATTTTCAAATGCTTATAACTTGATAAATAAGGCTCAACAAATATTTTTGTGTACCAATTTTTGAGTTTGTTTTAATTAAAAAACCTTCAAAGATATTCCACGAATCTATTAAATAAATTGTATATTTTATTACTTATTATTTAAAAATATTAATAGAAATTATTCTCTGTTGAAGGAGATAATCAATGATAATCCAAATAACTCAATAAAGTGATATCAAGTTTGATGATAGTCATTGCAAAGATAGAATGAAACATATATTCGAGTGAAACGAAATAGTGAAACGAGGCACATATAATACATGGAAGACAAAAAGATTCTCCAATAACTGTTCTGTCATTTTTTTCTTTTTTTTTTTTTACCGATTCTCTGGTATCGCAAACGTCAATCGTATTACCATACTCTATATTCCATAGCTGTTAAGCAATTTTTCAAACATGGATGCCTTCATCTGAAAACGAGCGTTTTAATGTCTTTGTCACCGAGCATTTCACGTGTATCGTGTTCTAAAATAAAATATCTTTCATTTACATTAATCTATCGATATTAAAATCAGTTTTCAAAAATTTATTTACACGTAACGTCTTCAACTTACGTAAATTGAAAAATGAAAGATAAATAAAAAAATTCAAAAGAATAAATTTTAGAAATTTTAAAAAATAAATTTTAGAATGAAGGATCGTATCACAAACAATCGTAATTGAAAATTATTTAACTAGTATATTTATGCAACTATTCCTTATTCGAGTGTTACCAAAGTGTCTGACTAAATTCGATTATACTACTGCCATAGTTTCGACACGCATACAAGGCAACATCTAAAAGGAAATTTTCTCGTATTAAACCGTATATACGAGTAAATATTAATGATGTAACAATATTTACACCATTATTATTACTTTCAATATCTTTTTATCTTTTCGTTTTATTAACTTTACTTTTTTTTCAGGTACCTCGATTCTTGGAATAAACGAGAATCTACGTCACAAATATTCAACGTTGTTCGTTATTCGATATCGAGTATAACGTTGCAAAAGTTTTCCGCCCGTGTAACCGTGTAACCTGCATCCATCGCTTGCAGGAAATTTCAACGGCGTGGTATCACCACGTCTGTGAAATCCATTTAAGAAACCCCCTCTTCTAGTCGGTGAATATCATAAAAGCAGCATGCTTCGACTGTTTCGTATTCACGAACTTGGTGTAACTCCATCTTGCTTCAATTTAAATTCTCTTTTCAGGGATAGAATCCCTGGAAGCGTCTTATCCGATATACCATCACAGGTGCAATCTTCATCTTCCTCTCGCCTGAGGACACGTTTTGCACAATAAAAGTTTAAAATACTAGTTTCTTTAATGTACGATATCTTCGACCACTGTTTTGAAAAGTTGTATTGATAAAAATTCGATTTATAAGAAACATAAAAGAAAACTTTCGAGTATGTTCATCTTTATCTTTCGATTAGTCATCGAAAAGCTATTTGTTATTGGAAAATAATCGAAATGATACAAAAATCGTGCAACAACTAATCTAATATTTGATTTAATCTTTTGAAGAATATATAGAAAACGCCTATAACGTATGTATATTTAATTTTTGTTTAAGAATAATATGATTATATTCACGTATAAAGCTTTTCATGTACAAAGAATATTAATAAATAAAAATAATCTCTGAATATTATCATTTATTCATATGAATTAATATACCATTGTTGGATTAAGACGTTACATAAGCAGTGTTTGAAGATATCTTCAGATGGAATATTAATAGATTCACTATGATGTTCAAATATCTCTTCACATCCAAAAAAAAAAAAAGGATAAAAGATAGAAGAATTCAAAGAAAAGACGAGCAAAGATATGGATTGTGATTGCGTATCTCTTAAAGGAAATATTGCTGTTCAATTTGTAATAAAAAATGATCGATATCCAACCAATACTGTCAATAAGTTGTATTCGTATATATGAATAAATATTAATGATGTAACAATATTTAAACCATTATTTTTATCACTTCCAATATCTTTTCCTACCATTTTATTGACTTTACTCTCTTTTCAGGTACTTCGATTATTGGAATAAACGAGAATCTATGTTTTATACATTACATTACACAATTGATGGAACCTCAAGTTTTCCAATCAGGAGATATTTTCATGCTCCTAATGTACATAAATTTCCCCAGTTTTCTTTTTTTTTTCTAGTTAATACGAACAAACAGCAATGATTTCTAATATCTTTTTATCTTTTCGTACCATTTTATTGACTTTACTCTCTTTTCAGGTACTTCGATTATTGGAATAAACGAGAATCTATGGTTTATACATTACATTACACAATTGATGGAACCTCAAGTTTTCCAATCAGGTGATATTTTCATGCTCCTAATGTCCATAAATTTCGCCAGTTTTCTTTTTTTTTTCTAGTTAATACGAACAAACAGCAATGATTTCTAATATCTTTTTATCTTTTCGTACCATTTTATTGATTTTACTCTCTTTTCAGGTACTTCGATTATTGGAATAAACGAGAATCTATGTTTTACATATTATATTACACAATTGGTGGAACCTCAAGTTTTCCAATCAGGTGATATTTTCATGCTCCTAATAATGTACATAAATTTCGCCAGTTTCCTTTTTTTCTAGTTAATACGAACAAACAGCAATGCACAAATGAAAAACGATGTACCGGTATTGGCAGTGAAGCGTATACCGCAAATACTCGTCTACCCTCAAAGTGGGATACCATATATCGCTGCTCTCAAAGAGAGCTCAAACTTAAAGCTGTTCTCAAAGTTGTTGTTCTCCACTACAGGGCTCTTAAGTGAACTAAGATTTCGTTTAACAAAGCTACTTTCGGTTAAGAAAGATTTCAAACTGCTTGACCGGTCCTAGTATCATGTATTTGTACAAACAAACGGGGAACGATACTTGTAAATTGGAATTGATTGAATTTTTACGATAATTAAAGTAATAGGTCGAAACGCGTGTACGCGAAACTCATTCAATGGATAATGAGAGTTGAAAATAAAGTTTCGCATACTGTGGAATCTGTTGATCAGACAACAGGGCGTAATTGTTTTAACGATTTAATTAATAAAATGTCGAAAGAGAAGGAACAAAGGACGTGGACATGAAACATGTTTTTTTTTAATATTATGAGTGGCTTATACCTAACGAATAACAGAGGATTTCCATTATACGTATTACAATGCCATTATTCCGAATGCGTATGTTTCAAAGAAGTGAAGCGAAAAGCTCGGCCTGTTACGTTCATTATAAATGAAAGAAAGCATTTCCGTGTACATGAATAAAGTATACGGGTAATTGATGTGAATTAATGTCACTTCTTCTCGATTAAAAAATATTCCAAATGAAGTGATCATTCGAAGGTAAGTTGTATTATAAGAAAACGCGAAATTTTCCCTATCAGCATTTTCTCAACGATGATGTTCTCAACAATGAATTTTCTAATTCTTTAAACAATATTCAAGCTTCCTAATATCTGAATTATTATTTTAATAATTGAAATTAAAATGTTCGATTTAAAATAAACGAATTAACTAAAACTGAATTAAAAAGAAACAAGTTTATAGTTTGAAAAATACTATAAATGGATTTGAAACAAAAAGTATCCCCATTACGAGATCTATAACCATCAACTTCTATATTAAATCTCTGATAAACTATTAATCATTTGTCCTCAAAATTAGATACTGTGCTAGCTTCACTTATTTAAGACCTATCGCATCATGCAAAAGCCCATTAAAAAGTCAACATTACTTGTTAGTTACAGTTTTAAATATTCTAGCTACATATATTAGTAGATTAAATTTTACAAAAACCCAAGAGACCTTAGTACCGTTTGGATCTTTGTGTATCCAAAGCTTAAGAATATTCCAATGAATAAATAGCATATATTTCTCTCGAGAGAGATAGAAAATACGATAAATTATATCTGCAAGCCAATATATGGGGCCCATAATCGGTGACCATAAGGCAAACAGGTACTCACCTGTTTCCGTAGAGGGGTCGCGCACTCCTCCTTGCTCCTCTCGAACCGTTCAAATTTGAAACTGTTGCTCCTGTAGAGCTCGTTGTCGCTCTGCTGCCTCCTGCACAG